ACTCTCGCAACCATTTTAAAGCCAGGAACCAAACACAAACCCTGAAGGACCCGCACCCAAGGGCTGGGACAGGGCAAGACTAGGTCCTATTTAGAAAAAAAACAAGGCTAAGTTGGCCATTCTTCTTCCCCTCCTCTAACTCATGCAATGGAGATTTTAATCCTAATTTACTTGGTGAGGGAGAGAAAAGCTGGGAAATTTAGCAGATAAACTGTTTCTTTCTACGCAGAACATACATTCAGAGTGGGCCAGGCAGGACAGTCTGTGCCTGTTTCCTTCCAACTGGACATGAGTTATTGCTGGAGGAGCCTCTGTCTCTCCTCTCCAGCTGCCTGGGCCAGCGGGACCTGCCACGGAGGCGGCGTGTCCTGGCTTGGAGGTGACACGGCAGCGAAGACGTGGGCTTTTGGCACCTCCACCCAAAGCCCCCCTTCGCCCTGCTCTCTGCATGGCTTCCTTAATGATCAGATTAGGTATGTCAAATCCCAACACAACTATTTTTTGCCCTGGGAATTTTTCATTGAGTTAAAGCTTGAACAGGGAAAGAACAGGCAAAGCAGGACTTGGTGCTGCACCCCCAGAACCGGGGCCATCGCTTCCTTTCCTTTCCTCCCCTCTTGTACCAGCCTTCCTCCATCCCATGACGCGGGTAGGGCAGATGTAATAACTCATGCTGATGTGGGGAGATGCTGCCTCCATCGCCCCGGCCGGCTCGTCTGCTTGAGAGTCCAGCCCAAAGCAAATCCTGTGGAGGTGCCCTGGGGAATATATCTCCAGGAGAGCCGGTGACACTGGCTCCAGCATCAGAGAAGCCCGTGCAGGGCACATCCCCCTGGCAAATCCAGAGAGAAATGCTGAATGAGTAAATGTTAAATAATGTTCACCAGCTTCCTGGTGTGAGAGCATGTCTCTGGAAGAAGCACTGCCATGAATATTTTATGTTCAAAGACCTTTTTTCTCAAAGCTAGTGTGTAATAGCTCAGGCCGTCTCCCAAGAGATGGGGCTTTCACAGGGTCAGGTGCAGGATTCACAATTTGCACCCGGAATAACCTCTCTTTGCCCTGTGGTCTGAAACGGAGTTGGAGGAACAAAACCTGTTGCTGAGGCCCTGAGCTGGTGAAGGAATGAGCCCCAAACTCTCAGCGGGGGACCCTCACACAGAAAACAGCACTTTATCCATGCCGGGTGCTGGATGCCGGAGCCTGACGCTGTGTCTGTGCCGCACGGCAGACCCTGGGTGAAGATACTGCAGCCATACTGGCCGCAGATGCAGCCCCAGATTAAATTTCCTTGTTTTTTCCTTGCAGATGGACTTTTCTGCATGCCCACAAAGTTCAACACTGCTCTAGTCAAAAACCCACAAGGTGGGGAGGCGGTTCGGACACTGGAGAACTGCGAAATGAAGGAAAAATGCTATCGCGTTTCCCAGGTGGAATATTATTATGAAATTGTGCACAGCTCTGCGGGACACAGGGAGGAACGGCTCAAGGTTGGTTTCCCGTGGCTTGGCCTTCTCTCTGGTGGGCTCAGCTGTGCTGCTGAGTTTGAACAGCTGGGTGGATGCTCTGACATGGGCAGCTTCACCCTGGTAAAGCTAAGCACACCCTGGCAAAAAACTATAGTGTTAAAAATCTCACATTTATATTATCTTATGCTATAAAATGTATTTTACTGCCATTAATTTGTGTATACATCAGTGCCATAAAGTAACAAATGGCCTTTCCTTTGGGGTGGGGATTTCTTTAAAAAATAATTAAGGGAGCAGTGAGATATTTATTTAAAAAATTATTTAATCCTTGAGTATGTCTTAAGCTCAGTTCAAAGGAGACTCTACTCTCTACTTCAACATGCCTTTGTGCACCGGTACCTCTGACTCAAAAACCACTGGTGTGCTCCCAAAATACTTCTTCTTACAAGCTTTGCCTCACTGCTGCCCTTTCTCAGGGGTGTATGTTCAGCCTGAGGATGGAGGGCGGGTGGAGGGTGCAGTGACCAGCGGCCAGTCCCCTGGAGTGTCCCCAGTGAGCTGCCTCAGGGGATTTTCATGCCTTTGTTTTGCAAATCTTTGCAGGAAATTGATGTGGGAAGGTGCTTGGGCAGCTGCTCCTCGGGGGATCCCTGCTTGCTTAGGTAAGCACAGCTGCTAGGATCCAGCCATTCTCATTCCGGGACACATCCGCACACATCCAGAGGCAGGTTTGAGCTGTTCCCATTCCTCTCGAGTAATGTATCTGCTGCTGCCGGGGCAGGACCTGGGAGGGAAACACAGGAGCGGATTTTGGGTAGCACCCACAGCTCACCCTCTGGGCTGTGTCTAACCATGCAGGGACAAAGCTGAAGCAGAGCAGCGTTCGTAGTGGTGCCACAGCAGCACACTACCGCCTTGCTTCAAGGGACAAAGAATAACGTGCCGATGATGATGCCGAATTTGGCCCGTTGGGCAGCTGGTTATAGAGCTTGTGGTCCCCCATGATAGCAGACACAGATGGGTCCTGACAGTGGCTTTCTCCAGCCTGGGATGTGCCATTCCTG